ATAATATTACCTATTTGGCTATTTCTATGCACTCTCATTCATACTTATATATATATATATATATATCTGATTAATATTTTACTTATTACTTTGTATTAATGCTAATATAATATTAACATTTGCTATAATAAATATTTTAAAGTTCAAATTTTTATAATAATCTTTCTGAAAATTACACTATTATACATTTTTTTAAATATAATAAAATACCTTTCAATCACATTTTTAAAATTTTAATCATATTTAATAACAATTTAAATTTTATCAAGACATCAGTGATTTATAGCTTTAGTGTCTTATTTGTTGATTGTTTTGGTGGCTGTCTGCTCTTTGTCAACTAATGGCAATAGGTTTCATTTTCTACAGTTTTGATTAAAAAAATAAAGCAGTGCACCTCCTATTAAGTAAGGTCATGGCCGACCGAACTCCATAGCACTGTATGTCATTCGTCATCTCCTACATTCGAACTTCAAATCACACGCCAAATTTTGGTAGGTGAACAATGCGACGCTAATATTTGTATTGGACTGTTCACCTATGCTAAAAAAATCCGCTGCGGGATTTGCCCAAGAAGCAAATGAAAGAAGAATAAATTGCGTTCGATTGGAAAAGAATAACAGCATTTTGAAGTTTTACTGCATTTTGGAGTGAAAAATAAGGTTTTCGATTTGAGATGCCCTAAGAGCTTTAATTAGTTGCAATTTTTTATATATATTTATAAAACTAATGCTCCTTTACTTCCTCTTCATTAAATTTCCAAATGTTAAAATTCATAATAAAATATTGACTTCTAATTTAGGCTTTGTTTGGAATAGCTTTTAGCTATTGCTTTTTCGCTACTTCTTAAAAAAATGTGCTAGAAAGCATAAAAAAAATTGTCCCAATCGAAGACTTTTTTTTTTTTTTTTTCATTTCGAACAACCTTCTTTTTATTTTTTTCCTTTTTTTTTAGACGAGGAACACTGTCCATAGGCCAGTTAAAAGCTCGGTCGACCTAGCGGGCAAAGCTCAGGTGCCTGGTTCGAATCCCCTGGACGGCAGTGTAAGCCTTAATCGTTAGCTTGGGTAAATTGGTGTGGGTTGAACAACCTTCTTACTGCTTTACTTTTCAAATCTCAACCACAATTCCTATTTGAATAGTTTTTTTCACAACTTCCAAAAAAAATTTGTACTGAAAAATTGCTTTCTATAATAGTTTTGAGAAGTTACTTTTTCTATAACAACTTTACAAAGCAGTAAGAAATTTGTCACAATTTAATCTTAGGCTTCATTTGGGACAGCTTTCTTACTACTTCTTAGATCAACTTTTTAGTACGAAAATTTATATTTTTGTGCTAAAAAGCTGCTTTAAGAAGCAATTAGAAAACCGTCCAAAACGAAGCCATAATCTTCATTAAATTACTAACAATTTGATCGCAACACACGTAAAATAACATATTTGCCATTTTTTATTTCTGAATAAGTAACTTTATAAATAGGATAAATTTTGATGAATTTCTCCTAACAAAAAGGCTTATCATATTCGTATAAATTTCATATATGAGTTAAATTTACTCTCAGAAAAATCTAAAAAAATTAAATAAAATAAAAATGTCTAATGTCCTAAATAAAATAGGCCCCAATCTTTGTTAATAATTTCTTTTTATAAAGTGCTTCACCAATACTCGTCAATGCAGATATGAAGAGACATCTGATCAAACTTGGTGGGCAGATGAGTTGAGAAATACTCCACACCCACTCCAATAAATAAGCACGTAAATTATTCTGTGCGGACATTGGACCGTCTAGAGGTGAATCAGAGCACGTCACGTCACCTGGTACACTACAGATACACAGCCACGGTACACATCAAAGAGGTTACATGACGCACTCTGATTTACCTCTGGACGACATCCGTATCCGCGCATAATAATTTCACCTAATTGTGAACAATAATCTTTCTTCATTTCAAAACAATTCATAAGCATGAAGATCATCAGTATCATATTTTTTAGCTGAGCAACTTTCTGGTTTTAATTAATGACCAAACAACTCAGAGAAAGTTCTTTCCATCATTAAAAAAAAAAAACTATTTAATGACTGTTAGTTTAATGCTTTAAAATATAAATTCCAAATAAAATTTACATAATAATATAATCATAATGGTCTTTTCTTAAAATAAATGAGGTGATTTATATGGGTTTTAATTTTTTCTAGTTCAAATATATTTGCTTGTCCTGATTGTTCGACAAGTTTTAGATTAGTTGTCGACCACTTAACACAGCTCTTCATTTTTCTCATTCAGAACTTGAGACCTGGCAACGACAGTGTCCATTCATATAGCCTACTCTACGTTGTTTGATAATTGTCGACAAATATATTTACAATATTAGCCAATCAAACTCAAAGAGGGTATGTGACCTCACATTCTTGTAGAGATATGTTTTTTTTAATGTTTTTTTTTTATTATTATTCTTGTAGAGATATGTTCAGAGCTCAATACATATCTAATTAGATCAATCTGGCAAATGATGAGGAGAGATTGATATGTATAATTATTGAGAACAATAAATAAATATTTGATCAAAATAATGAAATTTAAAATTATCTCATTAATAAAAAATCTCTAGTGTTTTCTTATTTTCTTAAAATATCTTATAGTTTAGATTAAATCTCTTCTTATTTAAATAAAATTTAATCTAGCACAATATACTTTTCTTTCATGAAATTTTGTTATAATTTTCTCCATGGTAAATATAGTATATTTCAATTAAAAATTATTATTTGATTAAGTTTTATAAAGATAAAGAATTTTTTAATCACCAAATGAATATAATTTAAAATAAAATATATAGATGGAAAAATAAATTTAAATTCTTTTGTTTTAAATATAAAAATAAAATATTATATTTTCATTACTTGAATTATTTAACATTAGTATTAATTTTAACAAAATTAGAGAGGGGGAGAGAGGATATCAAAAACAATGTTGTAATTGAGTAAAGTCAACTTATGAGCTGATTCAAATTTGATTCAATAAAAAGCTCATAGGTTAAGCTTAATGAGCTAACAAATTAAATTTGAGCCAGCCTTCAAACAATAAGTTAGAAATATTAATATAAAATGCATTAAGAACATACCATAATCATAATATTCAATAATTTAAATAAAATTTGTTGAAAATATCTCAATTTACATTTCACTTTCATAAATGAAGTGATTTATATTATTTCTCATAGAAATCAATATTTCAAATATAAATCTATTAAAAATATTAAAAATTTTACATTTCACTTTCATATATCAATCAATTAATATAATTTCTCATTTAATTTTTCATTATTTTAATCATTTTATTACAATAAATGCTTCGATCAATATCTAGTCCTTCTTTCACAATAAATGAATTTGTTAGTGAGCCAACAAATTCATAGAGAGAATCCAATAAATAAAATAAGAATC